TCTGAGAAATGTAATTTTTCCTTATGGCCCCCTATTCTCTGCGAGCTGCAAAATAAGCTGCTACCAAGGCTGCTGCCACTGCCAAAAAGAGGAGCCGAGACCGTGCTCATCACAAAGGAACCTAAAGCCCTAATTCAACATCACTGCTTGACAACATCAGGCTCAAGGAAGCAATGTCTTTTAAAGTGGGGACCTGGCAGGGTGTGGTGTGTTCAGGAATATTGTATGGATGCGCGAGCMTTGAGAACCATCAACAGTTGCCAATAACAGGAATTGTAGGTCAATGAAAACTCCTGTCTGGCAGAGCCCGAAGGAGGGATCAGCCCCCTCGACCAGTGGAATTTCCCCCTTCCTTAGTGGAAGCAGCAGAAAGTAAGAGGACTAACTGTGATTCTCTGCTGGGGTGGCAGAGAGGTGATTCCCCCAGGCACTTACCCTCAGAGACTCACCCCTGTTCAYGCCGCACAGAGGGCTCGAGGGGCCTGGCAATGGCCCAGGAAAATGTTACGTATTGCACTTGTGAAGTGCTTGGGGATCATCCGGGATGACGTKTGCTGTAAACTGTGACATCAATGTTTCTACATGTGTTATATGTGCTGCCCGTGATCTGTGACTGCTGCAGGTAGCGTGTCGGGAGAAAAGCTTCCCAGATTGAACACAGGCAAATTGGTACCTGGCATCCCATTCACTAAGGTTTCCACTGCAGCATCGTTTTCACTTCTCATTCAGTCTAAACTTTCTGAAAACTGGGGAAACAAGTGAGATATGACCTGTTGTCACAGAATCACAGAATGGTTGAGGTTGGAAGGAACCTCTAGAGATCTAGTCCAACCTCTTGCTCAAGCAGGGACACCCAGAGCATGGGGCACAGGGTTGTATYCAGGTGGGCTTGAGCACATCCTGTTTTTATTGTGAACGAGTCTTGCCAAATGGGTTAAATTATGCAAACTATTTCAAAAATCTTTAGAATTGAGTCAATAGCAACATGACAGAAAATGCAGGATGAGCAGACATAAAGAAGGAGAAAATCAGGACAATGACAAAGAGACTGTTACCGGTGACATATACTGGAAAAAGAATACTCTGAACAAACAGTCTCTTTGGGAGTATAGGGAAAAGGAGATAGAGCTCTAAAAATGAGAAAGGCAAGAAACCACAGGCAAAACCTATACATGAATCAATCCAACAAAAGCTGAAGCCAAGAAATTGTGAGCAGTGAGTCATGAGTAAAAGGGCACTTGCATGTAACATACGGGTTCAGTTCACAGGTACCCAGTCTGGTTTTTAAAATTAAAATTTAAAATATGTCAAAAATATTCAGTGTTCAGATGAAAGTTGAAAAAAAATCAAGCTCTCAAGTCTGCATTTTGAATGCTTGGCTAATACATCAACACAGGCTGGCTTGCCAAAAATATTAAAATACAACTGAAGACATCATAAATTAGTAAATTGTCAAGTATTCTTAATACGTATTCCCAATGCCAGACATATTTATAATAGTAAAAGCAGGTTACTTAAATGATAAGTGCCAGTTAGCACTCGGAGAGATCAGGGTAGTTTTACTTTAACATGCAGTATAAACTGTGTTTGCTTCAGCAAGCCCATTTCGAAAGCAGTGACAAAGATTTAACTTGGACACATGAAAAGTTTCTGTTTTAGGATTTCAGTGCTCATTTGGAGAACTATTATACCATACAGTATAAAGCTTTTATTAAATCAATGCATTCATTTATTTGAAATAAAAGTTTTATTCAATCACTGTATTTTGATGGACTAGACTACTGCACATAGACGGGAGATAATGGATTGAGCAGAATGTCCTTGAAGGAGAAGAGCTGCTTCACATCACCTCTCTAATACTCAGGAGACCTTCTGCTTCCAGCGCCTGCTGGATTTCTGAAAGCTAAGAGGAAAGATGCACCAAAGCTATCTGGTGTAACAAATCAGCTCCTGAATCACCTCACTATAAAACTTGCAAGGAAAAAAAAAATTAAATAATGTCTGCTTAAAATATCTCAATGTCATTTTTAAACCTATTTAGGATGATGAGCTCTGGTGGCTTTATGGCAGCTCAGCCATGTGCATTGCCAAGGCTCACTAGTACTGTAGCCATTACCAGGTTTTGAATGAGTAAAACACAAAGTTATTAAATCAGTTTTTGCCTTGCAGTCCTGTTTGGTCAGATCACTATAACAAGCTTTCAAACAATTCAAAAAAAAATGATACATTGAGATTTTTAAAAGAGGTAAAAGACAATTTCACACAGAGATCTTTAACAAGAAATACATTCTTTTAAAAAAAAAACCATAAAAGCCATATTCTAACACCATATTCAAACACTTGTTACAGCAGAGAAAGGAGCAATCAAAAGCCTGGTTTACATTTTAAAAGACATTTTTTCCCAGGTATTACACAGCTTTTCTGTATCTTGGGTGTTGGAATCTAGATTAACACACTTTTTGTGTCATAACACACATACAAAACATTTCCATGTAGGCATAGCAAAGATCAAAGAAACAAAAGAATTTGTATTTTCATTTTCTCAAAACCAAAGCCTTACCACAGGATATGAATTTACACTCCAAAGATTAGCACCTGCCTAGGTAAACACTCAGCACAGTCTTAATTCCAAAAAAAACCCAACACGTATTAGCTGATTTTAAACATTACCTGTTTTCCCTTCTTTTCATAAAACACGTATGTGTGTTTGTGTGCCCATCTTTCCTTCTCCTCTCTTCAGGTACAAAGAAACTGAAAAAGCTTTTGGTGAAACAACTTATTCATAGCAAGGCCAGGCAATTTATGCTGGAAGTACCACAGCATAAAGCAGATTAAAAGGTATTAAGACATTTCTTTCTGTTATAAAAGTCATTAGGTCTCTATACAGAGCAGCACTTTACTCCTCTACCTGGCATATCAGTGTTGAACAAATTGCCACATTCACACTTAAAACTCAGCAAACCCGGCTTCTAGCCTTAGTTACTCACAATATTTTTAGGCCTTACGAAGCCTTTTGAGGAGAAGTCAGCTGTTCACCACGTAAACCTGTTGGAATCTTAGTTGTCTCAAGAAAAGAAAAGGATATCTTTTCTGTCTAGAAAAAAAAAAAGACAAAACTTCACCATTTTGACACCAACATATTCTGTTACCTTTTTTCAATGTAACCACACTGGGAAAAAAGAGGCTAGTTCAAGGCATGAAACCTGCAAGAAAAGCAGATTTCATTAAGAACAAATATCCTGCCATCTTAAAATATAMGGCACAGTTAACACCACTATGTATGAATAGCTTTTCTAAACTCTCTATGAAAAGGTGACTGCTATAGTAGACATAGATAGTCAGACTTATGCCATCTATTTGGTTTCCACATGTGTCTACAAAAAATTATGTTTCATAACTCTCTTTATCTTTAAAAAGTATTTTTTTCCTTCTTTAATTTTTTATCAGTCCAGCCTCTGGTTTGTATGAACCTCACATTGAAACAAATAAAGCACTGGTATTTTCAGAGAGAGAGACAGGAAAATGATTTAGCCTTCTAAAAGATGAATAAATCCTGCATTTCAAATAGAACAGGCACATTCAGATATTAAACAGTTATTTTTTGATCATGGGAAATAATTGTGATCTGATGTGTTAAGTCTAAAATAAAAATGATGCTGAATGTTAATATGCTAGTGTACTGTTAACAAATTATTTTCATTTTTCTTAAAATGATTTAATTTATCCATGTATTTATACACTGTTATATAAGAAGTTCTGTGCCTTCTCCCTCTTATAAAAAATATTTATATAACTACAACAAAAAAAAATGTTACTAAAATGGCTGGTAGCTCTGCAACATCCCTCGATGTAAAGGCAAGGAACAGTGACATTAAACAGTCTGATTTTCAGGTAATAATCAGTGTATTCAGCATAATATCCCGGACATGCAAAGCATCTAGCAGAGGAAGATCCTCTTTAGTTGCTGGTTTTGTATCAGCTGCCAAATGCATATCTGGTAGTGGGGAAGCAAATGAAGCTGTAGTGCTAAATTCACCTCTCCGTCACCCCAATGTAAACTTGCTGTCATTACGCTGACTTTTGTGGAGTTATCTCAGATATATGCTGGCATGAGAGAGGGCCAGCTGGAGTACTGGTTATGTAGCTCCAATGCTTACACGCTGAAAAAGAACCGAAGAGAATATACACATATAGAACATGGGCAGAAGTTTCATACTCTTTCTTCAAGGTTTAATTTTATAGCCTTTGCCTGAAAATGAGATTTCTCTGCACTGCCTTACTGCCTGAAGCTACATCCGTGAGGCTTTCTTTCCTGTTCTCATACTCTACCATGTTATGAGTAACGTATCAGTTGCAATGAAGTCAATAGAGGTTTCACCTCTGTCTCTGAGCCTGCTTTAATGAAAGCAGTGGTAAAACTCCTGTTGATTTTCCAGGGAAGATTGAAGCCCCCGGGGATCCTGCTAGCTCTGAAATAAGAGTTCTCTCCCAGATATAAAGCATAAGGGTACTCACTCTTGCATCGGAAAGCAACATGGCAAATCCTGGCCATCATCTCAATTATTCACTTTGCTAATGTGTTCATCCTCGGTGCTCCTGTGAAAAACCCTTCCTCAGTGCAAAAAAAATAAAAATAARAAAAAAAAAACAGAAAAGAAAAGGGTAAAGTAAGGCAACAATTGAGGCCTTCAGGAGTTGGTCTGAAGTCAGAAAATTCACTATCAAGTTCAGAGGAAACAAGGCTTTAAAACAGTATTGGAGCTGAAGATTTCACCTCCATCCAAAAGATCAGAAGTTTTCATCAGAAGATCGGAAGATCAAAAGATTAATGTCACCAGACTTAAATACATCAAACAAAAACCTGATGGGATGAGAGCAAATCCCATCTCCCAAAGACATGTGATATTACCACAGACCATCTAAAAATAAGGGAGAAAAAAGCATATTATTAAAAACACCTTTATTCATACAAAGCTGACTTGGTAACATATCATGAGGCATCATTAACAAGCTAGAAATGACTTTGCYTAATTCCAACAGTGTAGCTTAATGGCAATATACAAGACCATCATGACCAGTTATTCTCTTTGCCCTCTGCTGGGTGGAATTTGTGTTTTGATAGTAATTTATTTCTTTTGAACTACTAGCTTAGCCAGGATGTTATATGCATGATTTCCTTTCCAGGTAAAGCCATCACCGGTACTAAAATCAGAGCTGGTGTCTTCTTGCCCAAATGTTGTTCAAGATATTCTTGCAGTCCTGAAATAGACACAAAACAATTCATGAATCCCCTTTGTCTCACTGAAARCTCATTTTCTAGCTAAGAATTGTGCCATTTCCGAGTATGTTTCTGAAAAGTGGTATGGAGTCATATTTATATTATTATCATTATTATTATTATTATTAGTTTGTGTAGAAGGAATCAGCACCAGCTTCCCCCTCCTAACCAGCCAATCTGAGATCAACTTTACATGCTGCTCGGTTCAACAGAACTGAGTTAAGTTAAATGTACATTGCTCAACTTTGAGTGAGTGGCCCATTTCTTACTACAGAAACACAAACTGTCTGTAAAGATAGAATGCAGGTAGTAAAGATGGCTAAGGATTAATGCTGCTGATACAACTAGCATTAATCTTAGTACGGATAATAAATAGCAGTTAAAATTCAGGTCTTTGTAGTCTTTGATATTTGGATGCTTTAGCTGCACAGAGCTGTCTACAAGTGAAAACCTGCTCTCAGGTCTCACTGAGATACATCAATGTATCAAAGTTAAAATGGGATATTTTAAAAAACATTGTGAACATGATTTCCATTTGCAATCAGTGGAAATAGGCTGCTTTGAAGATATAATGGAGGGAGTCCAGGGACAGCAACATACATGACTATGTATCTAGATTTGCAGGGGGAATCAAACCACAAAAGACATGCAGTGTAGTTGCTGATGGCTCTAAAGGGACTATTATGTGACAGAAGTTTACAAATTTCAAGTCCACTATGAGAAGAGAATTGGTAACGGAGAAGATCTAACTGGGAGAATAATGGAAGAAAATTAAAGAATTGAACACTTAAAATGTGCATCAAAATATTCCTGGACATGTCACAATCCCAATGGACATGCTGCAAATCCACAAAGAATCTTTTTAGAGAAGACTGCAGAAAGGTCTCTAAATAATCCTGCAAAAGAGACTTTCCTAATGATAAGGAATGGGCTGTGTGATTCTGGTTTTGTTAAGTTATTTCTGTCTGTAGCTTCTGTGATGATAGCAATTCCTTATAACACTAAGCATTCTTGGCTAGAGCGGGTGTAAAGAGGGCAGAACTTGAAAAGTGTCAAAGATTTTTTTTTTCCCTCCCTGCCTGTGAAACTGTGAATATGCAGTTCAGGCGAAGTGTTATCTCATATAGGATAAAAGAGGAAATTTGCTATTGTATTTACAGAGGCTAGCACTGTTCTGYTGTTACTCACCAGCAGGAGCAAGGATTCATGGAGTAATGGAAATGTTACCTATGAAACACTGCAAAACCAGTAGCAGTCTCCTGAAATTCTGTTATTTTGTATTAACATCACTGACATGAGGGATGAGAACAGACAGAGGTGAGCCTAAGATCAATAGTCACCTCAGAGGTCAGAGGACTTCATGTTCTGGGTGATAAGCAACTCTGTCTATGCAGCTCACACATTCGGCAGTGACTAACTAAGCCTCAGCTGATATTTTCATTCTCAGCTTTGGTTTCAGGGTATTTCACAGTTAGGCTGCCTCAGAAGGCAGTAGGTGGAAGTGGGTAAGACTATTTCACCTCAAAAATCACCAATTACACCCAATTAAAACTGCATTCCATTTTCATCTATTAGAAACTGTGAAAATTTCTATCTTTATCTTTTTCACAGACTTGAAAGCTATGAAACGGTGCTAAATAATAATAATGACAGGCATTATTTTCAAAGGAGAATTTGAAAATAAGKTTATCTGGAAATTAAAATGTATTCTTTGTTTTTTTGAGATGAGCAAAATAGCCATAATTCTTTACATCTGAGCATTCCTTGCTAGCCCTGATAGGCAGAAAGAGCCTCCTTGCTAGAAGACCACCACCTTTTCTACTGCAAGAACAAACTGCGGCAGCAAAGCCTAGAAGTATGACTGAAATATGGATGAAAATCTGGGCCATACACCTCTAAATGTTTTATTATACATGTAAATCAGATAGTTTCATATGAAAACATTCTGCTTTAGATCTACATCGTTATACATTTTACAACTTGCGGATAAGAGACTGCTCACTCAGATTTCATTTCAAGAAAGGAGATTGGATTATCTAAAAAACTAAAATTGCACTCTAAGATATCACAGAAGACAATGCACAATTAGTAAATCTGTGTCAGACTGTGTAATCACAGTTGATACAGTGCAAAAATTGACAGGCATATCCTTTATCTGCTATAAATAAAATGTGAGTTACTCTTCTAAATCCTCCATTGCTAATTGCCCGTGTTTGACTATGTGACACTAATAAAGACACTTTTTTTTTTTTTTTTGCTTCTGCAAATTACGCTTTTAGATAAACAAGAGTCTGAGTCAACAGCAGATTTTTTTTTTTGAGGTATTTCTTTGTTTAAATATGCTCAAGATTTCAAATATGTCTTTCCTACCTATTACTTATGGAAACTGTTCGCATGCCATTCTCTAAGAGCTGATCTTGCATCTGATCTGACATGCAAAGGATGGAGCTGGGGGTACTGTGAGAGTGATTCCTGGACAGACCTCCAGCAGGAGCCACGTGGGACTGGGTCCACTCTTAAAATTATTTAAGGTGCCCTCATACAGAATACTCCTTAAAACACAAACACAAAAAGCCGAGTAGGGTGCTCTGTTTTGGGTGTGCTTTCATTTCTCATGTCTGTCAGCATTAATTATTACTACTATCTGAAATTTGCCTAAAGCAAGGAAGCTTCATAGGATGGAGAGGTAGGATGGAGRGTTCTGCTCCCCACCGGAGAGGTTTCACAAGCATGTGGCAAAGGTTTCATACTCAGTGTCAATCTCCACCGCTATGATTTTTTTCTCTTGCATTGGGCACAGCAGAGAGAAGCACGTGGAGATGAAGAGAGTGACAACCTAGAATGAACAAAAATTATTAACAGCTTTTCTTTCTCACATTGAAACTTCTGGCAATATTATTTATTCCTGCCATTCCCTTTTCAGAACACGGTRATAATGAGATCGATAGTACAGTGATCCTTCATGTTGACCTAAGAGTCCCTCCACAGAACAAGTCACAATTTAAAATCATAAGCTATTCTTTCTAATGGTGCTTTTCATATTCAGTAAATAGAACAACGTCCTGGAAGCTTTAATAGGGTCACTGCAAATCACTAAGGAAACATTTATTACGTCTATGTTTTCATTGACTTCAGTAGTGTCTCCTCACCTCTGTGAGGCTACACAACACACCTGCACACTGGCAAAATCAGGCCCTTAGTATTGCTGGCATATGCTGTTCCACTGGCTATTTGCAGGTGGGGAGTAATTTAACAGCCCATAATGAAAAGGAAAGCGGTAACAAAAAGAAAGATCATATTTAGCCTAGCAAATTAAAAAAAAAGATACTACAACTGCTATATTTCCTTCTTTTTTTAACCAAAAGATATTGTTGCATTGCTTAGAGCAAGCCTTTAAATCCCTGAGCTAATAAAGCTCCCCATTGCTTCAGCTGCACGGATGTGACATGCAGCGTGTCCTTGGAAAAGATGCGTCACAGGGGATCTGCTTCCTAACAGTTGACTCCGAGTTCCAGTCCCCAAAGATGTGCCCCTGGTGTGCAGAGCACTTAACCCTTCGACCGGTACCAACATGACTATTCACAAATTATTGATGTCCCTAAATCCCTGGCAGATTGCAGACAGCTCTTGTCTCCCTTGAAGCCAAAGCATATGGCCACTAATGGAATGGATTAAAAAATACACGTACACATGCAAGGCTCTGCCACATGAATGTGAAGCCACAGATACGGTARAAGGTGATTGAACTGGACTCAACACTGTTAAATACATGATTAGCCTGTTGTTATGGATCATTTCCATTGATCTATATACAGTTTCACAGCATAGTTTAATTAAAACTGTCTGGAACAAGCATCTTCCTTAAATGATTAGGCAGTGCAGTGAAAAAGTGAAGCATTAGGAACTGGAGACCTCCTCCCCTTTTCTTAAACATCCAACTGACTGTTTCTGTGGTTTCTAGCAATAGCCAGGAAAATGCTGTTAAACAAGTAAGTGTTTTTACTGCCTCTTATGAGGCTTAGGTGCYAGAGAAATCAGTTCAGGATTTCTTCCAAACTTGTACTTAACAGTAATATAAAATGATGTAGTTAAATGTTGGTTTTTAAAACAGAATAAGTACAATTCACKCACTCTATTTCAATTAATACCTTCTTGTAAAAAAATAAGAACAAATCTAGTAAATAAAAATATACTCTTTGCAACATAAAGATGATTTTGTTATTTTTTCTTATAACTTTGATTTTAACATTTAAGATTTCAGATGAAAAAATGTAGACATGTTGCACATACTCCTACTTTGGCTTTTCATAAAATCCTTTATTCTTAATTATATTCTTCTAAGTCAGTCAGGTTGGCCATTTTCTGCAAAGAGACTGAGTTTTCAAGATTCTCTATCCATAGGAATAACTGAAGCAAGGTTTTGAGAAGAACAGTGCTTCCACTCTGACAACTAAGCACAGAAGTTAGAGCTTGAAAAAGGCTAAACACCTATCAGGTCCAGGGAAAATTGGCSAAAGAGACGTTACTCTGTGTTTTTATAAATTCCTCTAAAATTTTAAAATTTGATGCCAGTCTTGATTTTTTTTTTCAGGTGGGAAATATTCCTTTGTATTTTTGAATTTGACAATAATTAAATATAGGAGGATGGGGATAGAACATGCTATGGAAGCCAACCAATTCTGACTGTTCATCCAGGCTGCTGCAATAATTTCCCTTCAGGTCATTAATTAGTCCTTCAGGTTTTCAGCCAGTTGCAGTCAGCCTTTGACTACTTGTTTATAACAACAGGACAGTGATGATTTGGCCTAGGATTTTCTTTTTTCTGAGTAAGAGTTAACTGACTACTTGGATATGTGGGGGAAATTGCCACAGGAAAGGAGACAGCAGGGATTTGGGTAAGGCTGTGAAACTCATTTTAACCTGTGATAATGCCAAGTTCGTCTTTGAAACTACAACACGTAAAGCAAAAAATATTAAGGTT